AAAAAAAAAGAAAAAAAAGTCCTCATCTTCAGTGATTGAATTTCCTTCCTCAAATTCTAAAAAAGAAAAAAGAACTAAAGCCTCAAAACATAAGAATAAAAACTGTAAACCATGGAAATATCCCCTTTTCCCAGGGATTTTACTGGTTTTGGGTTTCTAACCTGAGAAACAGTAATATTCTCAAGGTTTTTTACTGTTACCATGCTCTAAAACGGAGAAAATATTTTCCAAATTTGGCCTACTCTTGTTGCTAGATTTCATTAGTCCTTCTAGAAATTGTTTTCTTAAAAATAAGAATAGTTCAAACCCTACTTTGTTAGACACACCCCCCAAAACTCTTTTAAGAATTTGCTTTATGTACTATGAGTAACAAAAAAAAAGGCTGAGGGTTGCTTCATCATACAGAATACATAGCTGCAGACCTAACATGCTCTGCAATTAGAGGATGGAGTACCCAAATTCTCTTTCTTTCAGACACGGTCTTGCTCTGTCACCCAGGCTGGAGTGCAGTGATGTGATCACAGCTCACTGCAGCCTCAACCTCCCAGGGTCAAGCGATCCTCACACTTCAGCCTCCTGAGTAGCTGGGACTACAGGTGCATACCACCATGCCCAGCTAATTTTTGGTAAAGACAGTATTTTTGGTTTTGCCATGTTGCCCAGGCTAGTCTTAAACTCGTAGCCTCAAGCAATCCACCCACTTGGCCTCCCAAAGTGTTGGGATTACAGGCGTGAGCCACTGTGCCTGGCTGAGTACCCAATTTCAAACTCAAATCAAATTCCATCCTGAAGACTTCCTGCAATTAATACAGAATGCTTTCCATTATGCAGATTATCAATGTAAAAACTGTTTACATTTATTGTGCTCATTAGTCCCTTTCAATATTATTTGATGATTTAAGTCTATATCTAATTACTAGATTAAGTTATAACTATCTACTTATAACTACCTAGTCACTAGATAGTTATAGTTAACTCTTTCCACAACACTCAACTCTTAAGTCTTTTTCCTCACCTTCCTCTGCTCTTCTCTTCAATGTAATGCCTAGTAGAGACAGATTCTTTACAATAAAATATGATCAGTTTCTTCAAGAGAAGAAACTGCAATAAATGTTCTCGCTCCCTTTTATGTAAAGTAGTATAAGGTCTACTCTTATTTAAGTTTGAAGTTATATTTCAATCCAATGCCATGTTAAAAATTACATCAACAGAATGATAAGAAACTAAGGTGAAAATGTACCAATACTTTCTTAGGAGACAAGTGTTTGACAAAACAAAACAAACAGGGAAAACCCTCTAGTCTCAGGATACTACTGCTTTCAACTTGATACCAGCCAGGTATTTCTTTGGTCTAATCCTGAAAAAGTACAAATTACACACATCCCCACACTTTCAAAATATGCCAAAGAATTATTTATTAACACAAGACTTACAGATCACAAAAGAAAGTGATACAGAAGAGCTGGAAAAGAAGTCATCAGAATAAGCATGCAGATCAGTTATTTGCAGAGGAATATACTAAAGCAAGTTCGAAGGCACATTCACACAGAAAATGTCTAAATTGAAAAAAAGACATCAGAAAAGCAGCCAAGAAAAAGGGTGCTAATTAAAATACAAAGATTTTCAATGTCAAAGAAGAGCTACTTTACAGGTAGGTAGGTAGGTAGGTAGCTACAGAAGTCTTGCTAACCCTTTGAAAATGTCACAAATGAGGGTCAGCTCTTGCTGCCAACAAAACCGTATGATTTTAATGACTGCACGTCAAGATGCTTCAGTGCCAGACAGATTAAATTTGGTCAGGGGGAAAAAGCAGCCTAGTTGAAATTATAAGCAGCAAGGGCTCAAAGGGTTAAATGTAATAATATGCAGAGAAATCAGGCAATGTTATCAGTATCATCTACCTTCCATACAAAGAATTATAGCAAGAGTTAAAAGAGACAGTATCCCCTTCAGAGTTAAGTTAGGGATTCTAAACAGGATTAAGGTCCACAGATAGCAATATACTAGGTTTTATTCTCTCTTCATCAGCTCACTTCTTATTTCTCCAACAAGAAGTACCTTTAACCCTCAAACTAAGAGCAAGAGATACTGTGGTGAACATGAGAATAAAATAAAACCACATTACATTGAGTAAATCCTTGCCATTTACCCTCTACAATACATTTCTGCAGCAGTTTTGCACAAGAGCAATATAGCTCATTGGTCAGACATCAACCCCTTTTAACAACCGCTCTAAAGGGATACTGCTCCTTTCTTTCTGACAGGAGGTTTACAGATCAATGGGAGGAAACAATCTGCTTTTAAGAATATCCTCCATCGGAAGAGAGTTGGCTTGAACATTACAGGCTCCAAGCTGAGGATGTTTCAAACATACATAAAAGAACATGAGCACAGAAGATTATTTTAACAGGTCAATAAGAACAAGCTTGGTCAAAAAACCAACTTCCAAATAAAATGGGGGAAAAAAAAGACGCCCCAAACCTGGATTAGGCTCATTTCATAAAGACAACTAGCTTGGCACTGTGAAAGAATATAGATTCACTTTCAGAAAAATAGTTTCTAATTAATAACTTCAGAGTTCAAAAGTCTAGTATACATGTTATGTGATTTTTAAATAAAAATCAAATATTGTTCAGAAAACAGAGCACTTTGCAACCAACTGCTGTGGCTCAAGCAGCTCCTACAAAAAAGAAAAACTAAATCACTCTATCAAACAAATAGCAGCAAAAAAATAAGAAAATTTCTGAGGAAAAGTACAAAAAAAGAAAGTAGACAGTCAAGGGCACAGGAGCTCTTCGGACCGCCCACTGCATTTGAAAAATACCCTATCAAGTAGCAACATGAAACACGTAATGTCTCTGCTAACCTGCCCCTGACTCAGCACCCTGTTTAGGAATACCTACAACATTTCCATAACCAAAGGATGGATGCAATTTTGTTTTCCAACTTGCCAATTTGACATATGCAAAAGCTATAGGACTTTACAATTTCTGCCTGAATCTGTAAACTTGGAAGTGTCTCATGTGTCCCTCTTTAGTTAAACAAAACCAAACCCTTCATATGCATAAAACATTTTCTAGAATAATACAGTGGTACTGAGATATTTCTCATTATTAAAAGGCCACAAAATAGGTTTATCTTTCTATATACATATCAAAAAACAAAACAAAACAAAAACCAGGACACTTGGGAATCTAGTTTTTATGACAGAAGTTGAACTAGAGAATAAACTGCTACATGTAAATCCACACAGAATTTAAAGAGGGCTCCCTAATAAGATGTTTTCAAACATTTTATCAGAAAGTCAGTAGTTACCCTACCCTAGCATCTACAGATTTGTTACAACTTAATATTTCCAGTAACAGAGCTATTTGAAAACAGCTCCTGGATTCCACTGACAACACATGCCCTCCTCTTTGCCAGACCCTGACATACAGAACATCCATATATAATAAACTCTTTCCCTCTCCTTCTCTCAAAGGGATGTGGCAAACTGCACTACAAGTGGTTATAAATTTTACTTTTTTGACCTAACAAGAGTTAGTCTCTGTCAATCAAACAGAATACTATACTGGCAGCTGCTGTGTATATCCAAGAGAAGAAAAAAGGAGAGGGAAACATTGATTTTACTCACAGAAATGGAAAAACACTGCTGGCATTGCAAAAGTCTTTATCAGATTTCTGGCAATGTAGAGTTCACTTAGCAGTGAGTATCTATGTGCCTCTAACACCAAGTTGGTGCTAGATTTCAAAAATAAAAATATTTTAGCCACCACCCAATCTAAGGTCCACAGTAGCCATAGTATCTGTATATCCAAGTATCCACAGAATCCAATTTAATACTGCTTTAGGGAGACTGGCAACAAAGAGGTTATTAGAGATTCATAAAGATAAAGGGCCAGAGCCTTACTCATGTAAATCAATACCCACGGACTCATCTTTGAAATCTACAACACCATCACCAGAGCAATCTCACCAATTCCTCACCTGCAGCAGGAGGATGCTGGCCACTAACTGTTGGTAAATCCAAAGAGCTATCAGACATGACATGCTTAAGATCTCCTCCCACATCAGCCAATTTCATGTCAAACTGAACAGAGAGTGCATCTTCAGAGTCCTCCTTGCCAACACTGCTGCCACCAATGGAAGGGAGATCCAAGGACTTCACTGACGCAGAGTCTTCTTTGGTGTGTCTGAAAGCCACAGCTTTCTCTCCCAGGGATTTGTCCGAGTTTATAGAAGAAAGTTTGCTGGAGTGGAAGTCAGCAAAATCATCATCACTTTTTCCTGAAGGAGTGTTATCTTTCAGGTCTTCAACACCTAGTCCAGACCCTTCCAGAGAAAGTTGTCTGAAGACATCATACTTAGTAGCTGCAGAAGTGGGATTCTGTCCACCCTTCACTGTGCTGCCCATGTTGCTGGTTAGAGAAACAGGACTGGCTTCCTCTTTAAGGGCATCATATTTGTCATCTGCCTTTTGCTCAGATGAAATAGAGCTATTACTGAAAGCCATAAAATCTGCAAAGTCATCCTGCTCCCCAACAGATGCTAGACTAGAATATTCTCCAAAAAGGTTGAATTCTCCAAAATCATCAGCCAAACTAGAAGTTTTTGTCGATGCCAATGCTGCCGTAGAAGCGGCAGAACCTGTTGACTGTGGTGCGGAAGCTGATTTAGATGTGCTAAACGCAGCTGAAAAAGACAATGGTTTCTCGCTGCTGCAATTAACTGAGGAAAACATATCAAGGTCTGCTAAGTTCAGAGGATTTTTCACTTGTGTTTGTTGTTTCTGTTGTATAGTTCCTGAGGGGAAGGATGGTGGAAAAGTTTTGTCTTTTGTTGCTGGCTCTAGTGGTGATATACTATCGGCTGTTTTAAAATCGGTGAAACCATCATCAGTTCCTGCAGATCTGAATTCTGCAAAGCTTTCTCCTGAAAGAAAAAATACCACCAAACAAATAGGAATGCTGAACTGAAAACCATAATGCACAACATATTAAACTGCAAGCATAATTTTACTGATGTTTCCCCACTGATTTGACATTACTTAATAATGCTTACATAGTTTAAACCCTATTCAACTACATATTTATTTCCACATTGAAGTCTAGTGATACTGAAATAAATAGAAATCAAACTGAAAGTACCTGACAGTACCATTTCATTTGCTCACATGTTTAATATGGGATCTCCCCTAGCTCCAGATCCTACAATTGGCTAAAAGCACTGCTCTCAAGACTTTTTGTTCCCACAGCTAGCCAGCCAAACAGACTGTTGTACAGATACAGGAAGAAATAGGTGCTAGAGGTTCTTGAAGAGAGGCATATTAAAACAGTGGCCCTTTAAAAATAAAACATATTACATGGTTAAAAAAAAAATCAGAGGTACCAATAAAGTATTATGAAAAATCCCACATCTAATATTTAGGATGTATAACACTTGGTTTAACCAGGCACTTTAGGAATAACCTTAGATACAGCCGGGTGTGGTGGCTCACACCTGTAATCCTAGAACTTTGGGAGGCTGAGGTGGGTGAATCACCTGAGGTCGGGAGTTCGAGAGAAGCCTGACCAACATAGAGAAACCCTGTCTCTACTAAAAATACAAAATTTGTTGGGTGTGGTGGCGCATGCCTGTAGTCCCAGCACTTGGGAGACTGAGGCACGAGATTCGCTAGAACCCAGAAGGCAGAGACTGCAGTGAGCCGAGACTGCACCATTGCACTCCAGCCTTGGCAACGAGAGCAAAACTCCATCTCAAAAAAAAAAAAAAAAAAGAATGACATTAGATACTATGATACTATGTGGTCTTGCTCAAGTAAATGGAGGAATTAATTTAAAGGGAACTTTGATAAAAACTTTGGAAAAAGTATCTACTTACTTGCAAAGGAGGGCACACTGTGAAGCAGCTCCTCCCCATATTCTCTAATAAGCTGAATCTCACAGAAAAAAGTCTATGAGCACTTGAGCTTTTCTAAAAATCAGCTGACTCACTGCATCAATGAGCACTTATTTTTATTTATTAAAATTCAAAAGGATTTGAATAAATACCAAATCTATTATACAAAGTTTTAAAGGATATGATTTAGACTTTAGTTTATATTATGCTACTGTGAGGATGGGGTAACTGACAGAATTGTTTATTTTTTTTATCATTTTTTAAAATAAAATTTCTTTTGCCCATGAAACAGCTCTCAGGAGATCCTAAGAAACATGTGTCCCAGAATTGTTTGTTTTTATATTCTGGTGACAGTGGGTACTTATGCAGTTCTAATAAATAAATAGACTCAGTTAAGACATTGAAAAAAATTTAGGCCTATGATTCTTTTTTTTTTTTTTTTTAAACAGTTTTATTTTTGTCGCCCAGGCTGGAGTGCAATAGCAAGATGGCATGATCCCGGCTCACTGCCACCTTTGCCTCCCATTCAAGCGACTCTCCTGCCTCAGCCTCCCAAGTAGCTGGGATTACAGGCGCCCACCACCATGCCCAGCTAATTTTTGTATTTTTAGTACAGATGGGGTTTCGCCACGTTAGCCAGGCTGGTCTCAAGCTCCTTACCTCAGGTGATCCACCCACCTTGGCCTCCCAAAGTGCTGGAATTACAGGCATGAGTCACCGTGTCCAGCCCAAGGCCTATGATTCTTAAAAGGTTTCTATATTCTTTATTATGATAGTAATGTTATCACTCAGGTACAACATCAGGATGAAGATGATCTCAGTTTTCTAACAGTATCTGAAGGTCTACTATAAAATCCACTAGGCTATGCCAGGTAACAAAAACTAGAGATAAGCCAAATGTAAATATAGTTATGCCAAGGCTGGGCACAGTGGCTCACACCTATAATACTAGCACTTTGGGAGGCCGAGGCAGGCAGATTGCTTAAAAGCCAAGAGTTCAAGACGGGCCTCGCCAACATGGAGAAACTCTATCTCTACTAAAAG